ACCCCCCAGGGGGGATGGTCATGCCACAATCCCTTCTCCTCCATTCTCCTCTCGGGATCTTGGGCACGCACGCACACACGCCTGGCATGAGTTTTAAGCCACTGGGTCCGGGATGCGAACCGTGGTTGACTGCGTGGGAGTCCAGCGACATAGCCATTACACTAACTGCTGGTTCCCGAAAGTTGTTTATTAACTTTCAAGAACTATGGAGTATGAGTTAAATTTTTTGATATGTAATGTAAATGTTTGTGGAAAAATGTAAAAAAAAATTTAAAAATAAAATAAAACAAATAAAGTAAAAAATTTATATCTACACTAACATTTTTCCTGATAAGCTGTTATTAAATCAATGATTTGTATTATAATCTAATGGAATAAATGTAAATATCATTAGATGACTATGAGGATGGGGAGTTCCTCTACCTCTAGCATGGACTTCCAAATTCAGAAAATATGCAGTTCTTCAAGTATGCTTGCTTAGAATTTTGGTATGGAAGAGTGATAGGCTCATAGCCAGTTCCAGAAGAGAAATATTCATATGTATTATTAGAGCAAATTAATTAAGTTTTGAAAATAAGGTGAAATACACACGGAAAACATGCAATTTGGAAGTGTTGAGTACAAATACCAGAGGAAGAATCTAGCACATACTACATAATTTATATAGAAAAAAATAATCCATGTAGGGGAGTGGAAAGAAGGGGGTATTGGTATGGAGAAAGAGAGCACTTAGGAGCGTGTTTAGAAGGTCAAACAAGAGAGAAAGAAGTCATAGAAGTTAAGATTAAAAATGTCTTGTAGGAGTCTGATTTAGTTTGGTTTGTCTGACTCCAGATGGCATGGAAGCTTATGTCAAAGTAGATAGCTGCCCAGAGGAATCCCAACTACGGATGAAAAATGATAAAGAAGAGGAAGATTATGATGATGATCTTGATGATTCTGAAATGGATGTGCTCAAGTTTGATGAGGACAGTTCTTCTTCCTTTATCCAAATTCGCTCAGTTGCCAAGAAGTATCCTAAAACTTGGGTACATTATATTGCTGCTGAAGAAGAAGACTGGGACTATGCACCCTCTGTTCTCACTCCTGACGACAAGTGAGTTCCTTCCTTTTTTTTTTTTAATTTTGAGATTTTTGCCATAGTGCATGTGTGCCGGCCACAGAGAGACAGTGAAAGAGAAAGTGAGAAATCACCCTCTGGGGGGATGACAACACCACATTCCCTTCTACTCCATTTGTCTCCTGAAATTTTAGACATGCACACATGCACCCAGCATAATTTTCAAGCCATCATCAAGTCCAGGGCTATAACTGTGACTGGCCATGTGGGAGTCCAATGCCTTAACTGCTACACCACCTGTAAATGCCAACCTAGTAAGTTCTTTTTGATTCTCAGTACCATCTCTCCCCTATACTCAAGAGGTTTTCCCCAGGTGTACAAACCAACAAACCCTTAAGCCATGTTTAGGGTTAGGTACAGGTATTCAATCAAATGACAAAGGCATTAAGATATTTGGAGATCAGGCCAGCAGGTTGCATGAATATTAAGGTGACTGAGTCCCACATGACTGACTGTGTGGTTTGAGTCTTGGATCTGTTAACTTGAAAATCACACCACGCATTTGTGCTTGTGTGCCCAAAATCCTGAGAGGAGAATAAAGGAAAAGGGATTGCAACATGGATATCTCCCTGGGGGGTGGTGGGGAGTGATTCTTCACTTTCTCTCTCTGGCAAATGCACATGCCCTATAGCAAAAAAACTAAAAACACAAAACCAAACCAAAACAAGCCAAACGTATTTGGACATCTTCATAGCTAAGCATCTGAGACATTTGTGTTTTTCTCACTCCTTGCCTTGATAAAATCCTATTAGCTATTTTATAGTTGGATTTTAGCCTACCTAGAATTTTCCATTCCAACGCCTCATCTTTTTGTCTCTCATCCAGAAGTTATAAGAGCCAATATTTGAACAATGGTCCTCAGCGTATTGGTAGAAAGTACAAAAAAGTCCGATTTATGGCATACACAGATGAAACCTTTAAGACTCGTGAAGCTATTCAGTATGAATCAGGAATCCTCGGACCTTTACTTTATGGGGAAGTTGGAGACACACTGTTGGTAAGATCCAAGGTTGGGTAAGAAGAAAAAGTTTAGAGAGTTTTCAGCTTCTAAAATACTTTGTAATTCAGCCTTATCTCCAGTGAACAGGATCTTCAAAAAATTATAAATGTTACACAAATAAATATTTTATCTATTTAAAATAAACTTAATTTGTATGCATTTGAGGTTTACAGCCTGATGTTATGGGATACAGATAGTAAAATGGTTAAAATCATAAATCATATTAACAAACCTATCATCTTATGTGATTACTTTTTTTGTGACAAGAACAGCTGAAACCTACTACTTTGTATCCTTTCACTTAACATCTCCCTATTTCCTCCCCTCCTCAACTAATGGTAACCGATATTCTTTTTCTTTTCTTTTCTTTCTTCATTTATTTTTTCTTTGGTTTTTCTTAAATATTTCCTAGTATAAGTGAAATCATGTCATATTTTTTCATCTTGTGTCTGGTTTATTTCACTTAGCATAATGTTCTCCAGGCCCATGAATGTGGTGGCAAATGGTACTATGCACTTTTTAAAGGCTGAATAATATTCCATTGTATATACTACATGTTATTCATCCATTTGCCTGTTGATGGACACCTAGGTTGTTTATATAACTTGGCTACATTGCAAACAGTACTGCAATGAACATGGGAGTGTAGATATCTTTGCAAGGTGGTAATTTCACTTTCTTTGAGTATATACTCAGAAAAGGGATTGGTGGGTCATATGGCAGTAGTAGTTTTAATTTCTTTAGGGATCTCCACACTGTTTTCCATAGTGCCTGTTTCAATCTGCATTCCTTCCAATTGTGCACTAGGGTTCCCATTTTTTCACATCCTTGCCAACATTTGTTATTTCTTGTCTTTTTGATAACCACCACTCTTATGTGTATCAGGTGATAATCTCATATAGTGTTTTAATCTACATTTCTCTGATGATTAATGATATTGAACACCTTTTTTTGTTTCTGAGAGGCTTTTGTCTTAGGGCATGTGTGCTCAGGGATGGGAGAGACAGACACAGTGAGAGGGAAAGTGAGAAATCAGCCCCCAGGGAAGATGGCTAAACTGCAATTGCTTCTCCTCCATTCTCCTCCCAGGATCTTAGGCATGCATGTATATGTGCCTGGCATGAGTTTGAACCCACCAGGTCCAGGACTCAAACCACATTAGGTCATGTGGGAGTCCAACGATGTAAATGCTATGCCATCTGCTGGTCCCATATTGAGCACCTTTTTATATAACTGTTGACTATTTTGATGTCTTCTTTGGAGAAATGTTTGTTTAGGTCCTTTGCCCATTTTTAATGATAGAAAGTATGTGTGTGCCTATGAGAGAGAGAGGAAGAAAGCACCCTTGACAAGTACCATTATACCACAGTCCTCTTTCCCCAAGTCGAGTTCCTTAGGATCCTGAGCAACTGTGCATGCACGCAGGGTGCTTTTCAGACAGACCTGGGTTCTATAACCACGGTCGTCATATGACTTTCAGCATGGCAGGGTACTGGCATCATAGCTGTGCCACAATGGCTCAGTCATTTGACCATTCACAAAAAATACATATTATTTTTGGTTTACATACATTTGATGTGTGATTTGTGGGGTATAGTAAGGTTTTTAAAAGCATGCATACAGTGTATAATAATCAAATCAAGGAAATACACATATTCATCCTCTTCGACACTAAACATTGCATTATACTGTACACATTTGATAATTGTTCTACTAGTTTTTGTTTTAATATGTGTTAAAATTGTCCACATTTTTTACTCTGCTGTGGTATACAATCCTATAGTCTCTTCCCCTTATTTACATGCATTCCTGTATCCTTTAAAATTTTTCTCATGAGCCCTCCCTTCCCTACTGCAAGCTAATTCAGTGAAAATTTTAACACCTAAAATCATTTTCTCCCTCTTTATTTTTGAAGAGTTTAGTGCCCAAATGATGGGGAAATCTCAGGGGAAGCAGTGTCCTCAGCAGGGGTCCAAATTTCTATTAATGCTAAGAAGTTACAGGGAATATTTTCTAAAGCAATTGAAAATTTTTTAAAGAAACAGACAAGAATCTTTGACAAGGAACCTAAGTATAATAGTTATCTGAGCAATGTTATGAAAAGAACAAACATTTTGAGCTTTATCTAAATTCAAACTCCTATAATGTGAATATAGGCAGCTTTTATTTTGGGGGGGGATAGGTCACAGTGTTTATTGATCCCAGTTGTCTTAGGACTTGTTCTTATATCTCATTTACACTTTCAGATTATATTTAAGAATCAAGCAAGCCGACCATATAACATCTACCCTCATGGAATCACTGATGTCAAACCTTTGCACTCAGGCAGATTGCCAAAAGGTACGTATAGTTTCAGTGTCTTACTTTTATAGATGAGGTCACAATATAAATAATAACTAGAATTATGCTGATCATGGAACCAGCAGATGGTGTAATGGTTATGTCACTGGACTCCTACGTAGTCTACCATGGTTCCAATCCCAGACCTGAAGGATTAAAACTCATGCTGGGCATGTGTGCATACATGCCCAAGATCCCAGGAAGAGATGGAGGAGAAGGGATTGCAGCATGGCCATACCGAGCACACATACCTTACAGTAAAAGTATCTCAAAAAATATGCTGGTCTTGGGGAACCAGCAGTTGGCGTAATGGCTATGTCGCTGGACTCCCACGTAGTCAACCGCGGTCCGCGTCCTAGACCCGGTGGCTTAAAAAAACTCACGCCGGGCGCGTGTGCGTGCGTGCCCAAGATCCCGAGAGGAGAATGGAGGAGAAGGGATTGCAGCATGACCATCCCCCCTGGGGGGGTGATTTCTCGCTTTCTGTCTCTACGTCTCTCTCTGTCTGGCGAGCACACGCGCCTTATAGTGAAAATCTCTCCCCCCCAAAAAAATGCTGGTCTTTTCCCTAGCTGTTGACATAGGTCTTTGAGCTCCAGTCTAAAGTTATCACATATCAATTCTAGGAATCCATAGGCAGTGTCTCACGTAACTTGGTGAAGAATCCCTGATGTGCTATTGCTCTTACCTACTGATGGTTGTGAAATATTGCACAGCCAATTAGACTGACACCTTTCCACCACAACTACTACAAATACTCTAAAACCTTAAAACTAATTTTTCTGTCATATAAGGTCATATTTTTTTTCTTTCAGTAGACTTTGGTTCCATTCCATACTTTTGATGTCTAGTAATCACTTTACTTTTTATTTCAGTTTTAATTTACTATTGTGTTTGTTGTTTAGAGATTCATGGCATGTTGTTCTCATGAGTTGCAAGTTTTTGTTTGTTCGTTTGGTTGGTTTTTGCCATATGGTGTGTGCACTCACCAAAGAGAGACAAAAAGAGAGAAAGAGAAATCACCCCAGAGGGATGGCCACGTTGCAATTCCTTCTCCTGCATTCTCCTCCTGGGATTTTGGGCACACATGAACATGCACTTGGCATGATTTTCAAGCTGCTGGGTGCAGGACTTGGACCACAGTCAGCCATGTGGGAGTCCAGCACCTTAACCACCATGCCATCTGCTGCTCCCTGGATTGTACCTTTTATCAATAAAAATATCCTTCTTGATTCTCTTTTATGCTCCTTAACCTGAATTCTATTTCACTAATTTTAGTATTGCCATATTTCTATTTTACATATTTGGTAGTTACATCTATCATACATCTCTAAAGAATTACTTGTGGGGCCACCAGATGGCATGGTGATTGAAGATTCTGAACTCCCACGTGAATGACCACAGTTTGAGTCCTAGACCTGGTGGCTTGCTTTCTCACTTCTTTCCCTTTCTCTCATTCTTTCTCACTCTCTCTCACTCTGTTCTTCTCCAGTCAAATTAAAATAAGTAAATAAATAAATAGTTAATAAAAAATTATTTTAAAAAATAAAAAAAGAATTACTTGCAAAGTAGTCCTTCTCCCACACTTACCCTTGATTTTACTATTTTTTCACATTTTATTGATTCACTAAAGATCTTAATTAGTTTAGAAACTTTCACTAGCACAGCTAATATATACATATCTTTGAACACATGTCTGATGTTAGGCATGGACCTCAGTGAGTAAAGTGAACATATTATAAAATAGCACCTACCTGGTGCTAGATAGTTTACTGTAGTCATTAAATAGGTATTTATAAGTATTTTTTAATTTAAAGAAAAACAGTTTTAGTTTTTAATAGATCAAAATAAAAAATGTTAAGAGAAATTTGCTTAAAACTAAAAACCAGATAAAAGACTAGGATTCAATTCAAACAGTAGGTAGATGAACCTATCAACAGCTGGAGAAAACAAAAATCCTTAAATATGGAAATCTAAGTATCGAAGAAAATCAGTTATGTTTTAGTCTAAAGTAAAAAATTCTATTTCACTAGTTCAGTCTCATGTAATTAATCTCTCTTCTATTGAATTTCCAGTGCTACTGTGGTCTGATCTTTCCATTTAAACTCTGGAAGTTGAAATTCAACTCTGGACTTGTCCCTATCATTAGGCTGGCCATTCTCTTGGTTGTTTTTTGTACTCTTATTTCTGTGTGTCTGACTTTAGATTTCCTGGTATTGCACTCCCTTTGGCACTTTTTGGAGAGGTTTTTGTTTGTTTTGTTTTGTTTTGTTTTTGTTTTTGTTTTTGATTTTGCCATAGGGCGCATGTGCTCCCCAGACAGAGAGAGAGACAGAGAGACAGAAAGCAAGAAATCACCCCCCAGGGGGGATGGCCACGCTGCAATCCCCTCTCCTCCATTCTCCTCTCAGGATCCTGGGCACGTATGCACATGCGCCTGGTGTGAGTTTTTTAAGCCATCGGGTCCGGGAGGCAAACCGCAGTCGACTATATGGAAGTCCAGTGGCATAGCCATTACACTAACTGCTGGTCCCTCCATTTGGCACTTTTTGGAGAGCTGCTCTGGTATTGGTAAATTTTGGGGGGTTTTGTCTATCTGAGAATGTTTTTGTCTTTTTTTTTCCCATATGAAATCTTGCTGGATATAGTATTCTTGGTTGGAGTTGTTTTTCACTTAACACTTTGAATATATTTTCCCATTCTTTCCTTGTTTGCATTGTTTCTGATGAGGGGTCCAACGTTAGCATGATGGGATATCCTTTGAAAGTCACTTGACATTTTTTTCTTGCCAATTTTAGTATCTTGTCTCTGTCTGTGGTTTTGATCAATCTAGCTATGACATGCCTTGGGGAAAATCTTCTTGGGTTGATTCTATGTGGGATCTTTTGTATTTCTTGGGTTTGGATAGTTGAGTGCCTCTCTAGGTTTGGAAAGTTTTCTTATAGGATTTCAAATAATAGATTATCAATGCCCTTATTAGTGTCTTCACCTTCTGGGATTTCAATGACCCAGATGTTTGAGTATTTAATGGTATCTAGTATTACTCATATGTTATTCTCATTTTGGGGGGGGCGTTCTTTTCTCAGTCTCTTTGGCGACTTTTTCTAGGTCAGAGATTCTATCTTCTACATCTGAGATTTGATCTTCTACACGATCTAATCTGCTTTTAGTACTTTCAATGAGATTTTGATTTCCTGTATTACAGCCTCCATTTCTAACAATTCTTTTTGATTCTTTTTTTTTTTTTTAATGATGTATATCTCCTCTTTAAGATCATGCAAGAACTTCTTCACCTCCTGGAACTTGTTGTCTCATTTCTCCTGTGTTTTCTGGATTTCTTTGTCTCTCTTCTCTTGCATCTCTGTTAGCTTTGTCACTATGAATATTCTAAATTCTTTATTTGACATTTCCATGAGTTACCTTCTATTGTGTGTGGAGGAAGAGGAGTTATTTTATTTTATTGTTTGTTTGTTTTCTTATTTTGGAGAGGGTTTTTTTTTTTTTGCTATGAGGCACGTGCACTCACCAGAAGGACAGAGAGAGACAGGGAGACAGAAAGTGAAAAATCATCCCCCAGGGGGGATGGCCACACTACAATCCCTTCTCCTCCATTCTCCTCTTGGGATCTTGAGCACGCACACACATGCGCTTGGCTTGAGTTTAAGCCACCGGGTTCAGAGCTCGAACTGCAGTCGACTACATGGGAGTCCAGTGACATAGCCATTACACTAACTGCTGGTCCCAGAAAAGGAGTTTTTCTTTTCCCTTTGAGGAGAGATTTTTTTTTTTTTTTTTTTTTTGGTTTCTCATATTTCTTGTCCCTCTGTGGTGGTTTCTGGTCTGATGGTTTACATGTTTTTTTCCCTAGTTTTTGGAGTTAAGTCTGAGCATTCAGAGGAATGCAGGAGGAGGTGACCTGCAGTATTTAAACAGTACCCCTTTTCTCCCTTTGTGCAGCTGCTCCATGGAAAAAGAAGATTAATCTGACCCTAAAAGTATTCATATATTTGGCTACTAAGCACCTAGACCTGTCTAGAAACTCAGTGTGTGGAGGCTGAGCCAAAAAGTGAGCAAGGTAAAATGAAAAGGAAAAGGAAAAGGAAGAGAGAGAGAGAGAAAAGACAGAAAAATAGAAAAAGAAAAAAATTGCAAGCAAAAATTAAAACCATGCCACGCAGATAGGGCTCCTCAGAACTCAGATATAGATGGCTGCTGATTGGCTTTTCCTATGGGGGTAGGGGAAAAGGTAAGAATTAACAAGACAAAAAAACAGCAAAGTGCTTAGAAGTTTAAAAATTAATAAAAAATTAAAAAGAGAGTGATGGAAAGAGAGAGAGAATAAGTAGGGTGCTCTAACCTGTCTCCTGGCTAGATCTGTGGGGCAGGAGAGTGAAGTCTGGGCAGAAGGTCTTCAGTGGTCCTAATCCCTGAATGGGGCTACTCAGAACTCAGATATAGATGGATGCTGATTGGCTTGTCCTGGCTCTTGGCTAGATCTGGGGACAGGAGGGTGAAGTCTGGGTAGAAAGTCTTCAGTGGTCCTAATCCTATCCTTGATTTTACTTTCTGTGGTTTTGTTTTCTGTGGTTTCAGTTACCCATGGTACAGTACAACAAAATATTTTGAGACAGCGATCATATTCACTTGGCATTCACTGAGGGTCTTGAAACATATCCTCATTGGATAAAGGGAGAATATTCCTAATCCTTTTTTGTTTTTCTCTTTTTCTCTCTTTTAAAAACTTTGCTAGAGGGTATATACTTGCCAGAAAGAGTAAGAGAGAGAGAGAGAGAGTAATCAAGAAATCACACCCAATGGGGAATGGCCATGCCTCAATCCCTTCTCCACCATTGTCCTCTCAGGATTCTGGGCGAACACACACATATACCAGGCATTTTTCTCAAGCTGCTGGGTCCAGGACTGCAGCCATGCAGCTAGCCAGTTGCTTTAACCACATATGATTTGCTGGTTGCCAAATCCTTTTTTATTTCTTAATAGAGAGAGACAGAGACAGAGACAGGTACCCTTGACAGGATCTTCACATTGTATTCCTCCCTCTAGTCCTGTAGCCAGCCAGGAGGAACATGGGCATACCCAGGACTCAACCTAGAAACTTTCTATATGATTTCTAGTATTTCTCAACACCACCCTAATGCCTGCACCATCATGGTTGAGTCTGTTTTACACTATTAGGCACTATATATTTAATTATTTTGTGTTTAGTGAGGATTTAGCATCATGCTTCTTCCCACTCCAGCTGTTTTAGTTTTATCAATGTTTTTAGCTCCTCAATTGGCTATCATTAGAAATTTACAAATATACTAAATATTCATTTTTTATATGTTCATGATTAGATACTATCTCTTGATTCCATATTCCATAAGCAAAGGGCATTAACAACTGTACCCTTTCCCCTTTTCCCTCCTCTACCCTTCCTTTTCTTAACTGCTGCCAAATATACCGTTAGTTTTATAAAACTAACCATGTAAAGAGCTATATTTTGTGCTATTATTTTAAATAACTCTTTCGTCCTTTGTTTATATACATTTATTGAAAATGTAAACATAAATTAGATATTGAGCCAGGTTAATGCTGGCAGCAGTCCCAGTGATGGTAACCTGCCTATCAGTAGATCCTTCCACTGGGTTCGCAATTTTGACCTGCGCCCCAGACATCTGATGGATCTCTTTGATTTTGGTGTCTTGACATTCAATGATGCAGCCAATCAAATAATTTGGAATGGTTAGTTCATGAGAAGTAGCCTGACCAGATGCATCCAAACATGTCCAATAGCCTTTCACCTCTGGAGAGATGGATTCAAAGCCATTGAATCTGGTGTTTCCATGCATCATGGGAAAATGAGACTGTTGCATTGCCAACTATCAAATCTGTCGGCTTGTTCAAATCTGGCTGTGGAATGGCATACTGTCCTTGAATGATATAGGCTTCTAGAGGTAGTCACTCCAAGTCAGGGATGAGGCACATGGATGGGTTGGTGTGGGGAAAGCTAGCAGTGTCGCTGCCTGTGATGTACCTGTCCTGATCATCTGCAAAGACAACAGGATAGCTGAACAGCTTGAGCTAGTACAAGATGGTCACATCTTTTGGGCAGACTGGGAGAAAGTCTCTAATGTGACCAAGCAGATCTGTTTGACTCACTCAATAATGAGTTGCAGAATGTCAGCAATAGTGATGACCCATTCAGTTGAGCTGGGGAGCATATCCCCTTAGCACCTGGACCTGAGCCCCTGTACTCATATTTCCTTGATCATGCCAGCACCACCTTTTCCAATGAAAGAGTCACGCTGACTAGCAGGGACCACAAGCCTCAGGGTGACTGGGGGTCTACTGGCAACTGTGCTATTGGTTATAGAGTTGCTAATGTCCTCTTCCAGTTTGTCAATGATCATAGCAAAAGCTTTGAAGATAGCATTAGTATGTCCAGCCAAAGTGATTATTCTCTCAGGATAATTCCCTTCTGAGATGTTGATACGTGCACCACTCTCCTCGAGCAACTTCCTAACTGATATTCCATTCTTTCTTTCTTTTTTTTTTTTTTTTTTGGAGATGTTTTGCTATAGGACACGTGGGCTCTTCAGAAAGACAGAGAGAGAGACAGAGAGACTGAAAGCAAGAAATCACCCCCAAAGGGAAATAGCCATGCAGCAATCCCTTCTCCTCTCTTCTCTCGGGATCTTGGGCATGCACACACATGCACCCGGCGTGAGTTTAAGCCGCCGGGTCTGGAACTTGAACCGCGATTGACTACATGGGAGTCCAGCTACATAGCCATTACACCAACTGCTGGTCCCCTGATACTCCCTTCTTGCCAATGATACTACCAACTTCCTTGCCATGCAGAAGTAGCCAGATGCTGAGAGTGACATTGAATCCACCTTCAGTCTCATTGGTGTTCATGTCTAGCAGTGTTCTGGGGAGCTGGACTTTGAGTGGTCAAGTCTTTGGTCATTGCAGGCACGAGGCGACTGAGGGGAGAAGGGGAGCTGACGAGAAGGGGAAGGGCAGGAGGTGGGGCGATGGGGGGAGGGAACAATAGGGACGAGTGGGCTAAGGAAGAAGCAGGTGTGAAGGAGAAGAAGGAGGAAGGGGGAAAGAGACCAGGGCTCAGGCTGTGGTTGCTCTGGCTGCTGCCTGTGCTGGTCAGGGAGTCTTCTCTCTTATTAGAAGAAATGCATGCTTCTTCACCATATCTGTTAGGTTCTTCAGCTTCTTAATAATTCCATTTATTTGTTAGTATCTAAATCTTTTTAGTGCTTAAAGATATTCACAATTTATTGTTTTAATTTGTATTAGATGCTTTCCTGGCCTGGTGACAAATCTAATGTCTTTGTTTTTCCTCCTTTGGACGTGTAGGTTAGTGTGATTAACTCTCTTGTCTTGTACATTTCTGTTTTTTAAATTTCTTCTTTTGTTTTTCTTGAAGTATATCTTCAAATAACTTCTAAATGCATGGTACATAGTAAACTTTCTGAGTCCTTTAGTATCCAGTGATGTATAGCTAGGCTGGTTATAAATAATTTTCCATCTACTCTTTTCCAATGTTCATTATTACTGATGAAAATGCCACTTTGATTTGAATTCTTTTCTGGGGAAACTCACACTCAACTGTATAATCAACTATACCTTAACACTCTGACTTTAATGCCTCTCATTTTTTGAGCATTTGGGAGTTTCTTTCTTCTTTGAACATTTTTATCTATGTATTTTAGATGTTTAAAAAATGCTGAATATTCAAAACAAAAAAGTTGAATTCAGTGCTTCCCAGAAAACAAAAATACTAAGAGAGGGTCAGGTGGTTGCACAGTAGTCATTCAGTGTTCTTGAAGACTCATCTGCATGGGCCAGCTTTAGGTTCGCATACAGAGACTTTCTTGAACATGCCAGGCATGCATGCATGTGCCCACAATCTGGGGCATGGGGACTCTGTAGGAGGTTCCAGGGTTTGAGTCCCAGACTCAATGGCTTGAAAAAAATCACACCAGGCATGGATGTGCCCAAATCCCTAGAGGAGAATGGAGAAGGTATTGTGGCGTGGCCATCCCCCCCGGGGGGTGATTTCTCACTTTCCCTCTCTCCATCACTCTCTGCTGAGTGCACATGCCCTATGGCAAAAATCTAAAAAAGAATGCTAATAGAGTGGAGGTTAAGTGTTCTTATCACAAAATTGGTAACTATGTGAAGTAGTGCTTGGTAATTAGCTAGATTTAGCCATGCCTCAGTCTTAATATACTTAAAAACATTGTGTTGTGCACAATAAATACATAAGAAATTTCTATGTCAATTAAAACAAATTTGAAAATGTAAATTAAAATTATTATTATATGTATTTGTAATAAGAGATAAAGTTACTGATTTCAATTCAATCATGCTAGAAAAAAATTTCTTTAACCCATTTTTTTTGTAAAAATATTGTGTGAATATTAAATTTATAATAGGTGCAGTTTTAAGGGTCAGATGGCAGCACAGTGCTAAAATGTGATGCTCTGCAAGTCAGTCCCACTTGGGAAAGTTCCTGGTTAAGAATTAGAAACCTCTCTGAGTATATAGTGGAAATGTGCTTGCCCATAATCTGGGGTTGGCTGAGGCTGAGGGTGAATCACAGTGTCGAGACCCTGTTAGAGGTGCTGTCTCTCCCCTCTCTCTCTCTCTCTCTCTCTTTCTGTCTCTCTCACTCATAGAAAAAAATAAATTTTTAATAAAATAAGTGAAATTTCAATTTTCACTTACTGATAAGTTTCATCTGTATTTATAGATTCTTAGAACCACTGAAATAACAACATGGTTATCATTTTGCATTTGTTATACGCTGATTGAGCTATTTTTGGTTTGGGTGTGGGTTAGGTGTAAAATATTTGAAGGATCTGCCGATTCTGCCAGGAGAAATATTCAAATATAAATGGACAGTGACTGTAGAAGATGGACCAACTAAATCAGATCCTCGATGCCTGACCCGCTATTAGTCTAGTTCCATTAACCCAGAGAAAGATCTAGCTTCAGGACTCATTGGCCCTCTCCTCATCTGCTACAAAGAGTCTGTAGACCAAAGAGGAAACCAGGTGAGTCCTTTTGTTCCCAGGTTCTATGTTTGAAGCTAAAAATGGAATGAGACGCATATAAACATCCAGATATTTTCTTTTTTTTTTTAATTTTGGAGAGGTTTTCACTATAGGGCGCGTGTGCTCGCCAGACAGACAGAGAGAGACATAGAGACAGAAAGCGAGAAATCACCCCCCATGGGGGGATGGTCATGCCGCAATCCCTTCTCCATTCTCCTCTCGGGATCTTGGGCACGCACACACACGCACCCGGCATGAGTTTTAAGTCACCGGGTCCGGGACGCGAACCGCGGTCGACTACATGGGAGTCCAGAGACATAGCCATTACGCTAACTGCTGGTTCCCAATCCAGATATTTTCTATATTCTCTCACTGTGCATTCCTCCTATACATGCAGAAAATATAGTATTCTGCAATTTAGGCCAAATAAAATAAATTATCTGGGTTGTGTGTAATTCACATTTACTGAATTTGAGTTCAATGCTATAAATTTGCCTGCTGCATAGATAGGAGAGCTTGGACCCTATGTTATTATTATTTTAAAATTTTAACATAATTAACATAAATTTTAACATAACAAAATTTTAACATAAACATATTTGTGTTTTGGCTTTGAAAAGTTATACATCTGTATATACCAAAACCCATCCCTCATCTATCAAAGTATCCACTATTATTTTCTAATACAAATATCCTATACTATTACTTACAGTAAAAAATCATCATGGGCCCTTTGATAAATTATAATCCTCTATTTAGTTCTGTTTTTTTTTTTTTTTAGAGGTTTTCGCTATAGGGCGCGTGCACTCGCCAGACAGACAGAGAGAGACATAGAGACAGAAAGCGAGAAATCACCCCCCAGAGGGGATGGTCACGCCACAATCCCTTCTCCTCCATTCTCCTCCCGGGATCTTGGGCACGCACGCACACACGCCCGACGTGAGTTCTAAGCCACCTGGTCCAGGACATGAACCGCGGTTGACTACGTGGGAGTCCAGCGACATAGCCATTACACTAACTGCTGGTTCCCTTTAGTTCTGTTTTAATGTAAATAACAGATGGCATATTTTTTCTTTCTTTTTTTTCTTTTCTTTTCTTTTTTTTTTTTTTTTTTGAGAGAAAATTGCAATAGGGAGCATGCACTCAGCAAACAGAGAGAGACCGAGACAGAAAGCAAGAAATCACACCCTAGAGAGGATGCCCATGCCACCAATCCCTTCTCCACTCTCTTCTCAAGATTTTAGGCATGCATGCACACACCCTCATTGTGAGTTTCAAGCTGCTGAGTCCGAGACTCAGGCAACTGAATAGCAAAGTTACAGAGGCAGTAAGATGTGACCTAAATTGCTGTGGTTATGATCTCTGCCTTTTCTTGAGGCTAGGATAGTGTTCTACTTGACATAATAAAAAGCAGGCTGTAAATATATTCTAAACTCAAATTGCAGAGCACTTTAGTAGGCTTTTCACTAGGCATCTTTATAGCATTTTAAGAAAAGTACTAATATTCCTCAACTCCCCTTTCAAAACAGCTCCAAGGAAAAAAATCTCCTTTCTCTAAGACTTCTTAATTTCCATTGCATTACCTTCACACCTTTTGCTAACCAGGGTAAAGAGCTTTGAAGTGGTTTAAAATAGCGCATATTGTACTTCTGTTAATACTATTTTTTGCTGAAAGCAAGTCCTTTGTGCTGACTTTCCAGTATTATGAAGTACAAATATAATTAATCATCTTTCCTCTTTGCATTACCAAGGAGTTCCTCTTCCTCCATCTTCTTCTGAAGGATAAGCAAAAGCTTGAGGTGTGCATTTCAGAAGATAAACTACAGCATGAAGATCCCATGTGTTCACCCAGACTGTGTGCACCTTTCACTATAGTCCCATTCCAAATAATGCCTTGGTAAAGCATTTCTTATCCTGAGTAAGTAGGACAGATCATCCTGTCCCAGGTCTACAGACATGGCTCATCTCTCGTAGGTATGCTAGATAAAGGTTCCAGTTTCTCTTCTTGGAGCCCATCCTTTTCCTAAATGGCATATCTGCTATGATAATATCCACAGAACCAGTTCTCAATAGCAGATTGCAGATATCCCACTGAACAGCATCTATGGGCAAGCCCCAAGAGAGTTTGCCTTCTTTAATTTGACTCTTGGTCAATAAAAATGAGATGTTATTTTCTCCTTGATTCACAGCCAATGGATTATTATCACTTGCAATATGGTAAAAGATAGACCATTCTGTAACCCCCTCTATTGATATTACCCCCATTCTACACATTGGATCAACTATTATGTCAGTAGGTTGAGGAGCACAAAGTCTGAGCATCTTTTAGGCAAGAGTTGACCTGAGAGTTGTGGGTCCAAAATGTGTGACATTTCTTCAGTGGAGACTCTTGGGTCTAAGCAATAACCTTTGCTGGATCATATGGTAGTTCTATTTGAAAGTCTTGGAAGAACCTCCCTATCGTTCTCCACAGTGGCTGGACCAATTTACATTCCCACCAACAGTGTAGGAGTGTTCCCCTTTCACCACATCCCCTACAGCACTTACCATTATTACTTTTTTAAATCTTCACCATTCTGACTGGGGTTAGGTAGTACCTCATTGTGGTTTTGATCTTCATCTCCCTTACAATGAGGGATGTTGAGCATTTTTTCATATGCTTTTTGGCTGTTCATATGTCTTCCTCAGAGAGTTGTTTATTCAGCTCATTTCCCCATCTTTTAATTGGGTTAATAATTTTCTTCTGGGTAAGCCACTTGAGTTTCCTGTGTATTCTGGTTATCAGTCCCTCATCTGAGGCACAGGTAACAAAAATTCTCTCCCATTCCGAGGGTTGTTGATGCACACTAATTACAGTGTCCTTTGCTGTGCAGAAACTCATTAATCTGATGTAATCCCACCTGTCTATTTGGGGGATTATTGCCTGTGCTTTGAGGGTCCTTATTTAAGAAGGCTTTGCCCATCCTGATGTCTCCCAGAGGTTCCCCAGTGTTTTCCACCAGTAGTTTTATAGTTTGTGGTATTAGATTTAGATCTTTGATCCACTTCGAGTTGATTTTTGTTAATGGTGACAGATAGGGGTTCAGATTCATCTTTTCCACAAGTGGATACCTGGTTTTTCCAGCACCATTTGCTAAAAAGGTTTTCCTTTTCCCACTGGATTGACTGGTATCCTTTGTCAAAGATGAGTTGGCTGTATGTTTCTTTTTAACATCTCTCTCATCTGGCTTGTCTCCTTGAGCATTCTCAGTTTTGCCTTTATTTGAATTCTGATTTATCTTTTGTACTTATTTTTTCTTGAAACTGGTATTAATTTTCCATAGTTTTGGAGGGTCTAAACTTGGGCATTTTCCAGCCAAGTTTTCAAATTGCTTTAAAACTTCTTACTTTTTTTTGAAATTTTTTGAACTGGTAATATTTAAAGTCCTGAACAATCACAAATAAAGTTATCAACTGATCTCAGACAATGAACCTTTGATTCTCATGAAGGTTCACATCCAGGAGTTGGTTAGCAATTTCTCCCATGTCTGACATGTTGGCAGTGCTTCCAAGATTTCCAATACAGTCCTAGTCACCAGTGCAGACTCCTATATTACTTTTTATGATACCCATACTCAGACTGAAATTTAGCTCTATCCAGGTGATTTTGCCTATTTTTTACATGTCCAATTACCATATATTTTAAGTGACCCACAAATTTATATCTACAGTGTAGGCTTTTCTCCTAGACATCTCATTTGAGTGACCCCAAAACAACTCAAAATTAACATATCTGCAGCATTTGGCTCAATGCATGACATTTAGTAAGAGCTCAATAAATATTTATTGATCTAAATACAGGGAAAGATACAAATTTTTTCACAATTTGTTTAGAATTTGTACCATTTTTGCTGCTTTAAAAAATAAAACCAAATTCTCTGGGGCAGGCAGGTGGCATGGTGGTTAAGGGCACTGGACTCCCACATGGCCGACCACAGTTTCAGTCCCAGACCTGGGAGCTTGCTTTCTCACTTTCCCTCTCTGTTTCTCTCTCTATCTTATTCTATTCCTCTTTGGTCAAATTAAGAAAAAAATAAATGAAGTTAAAATATTTCTTTAAAAAATTATCTGAAAAAGGAAAACTTGGTTCATCACAAATATTCATTGCTAGTTTCCAGGATAACTCCCTGCTATATTACCGAGGCTTGACTATATGCCCATTTGATCATTTATGATACATAAGATTTATATTAGTCTGAGAACATTTCATTGGTTTAGAGAGTAAAGCACATGAACTTTAGTGAAAATATGTGACACATAAAATCAGAGAAGCATACATTTTATCCAGTACTTGTCCTGATATTTTTCTTAATTGTAATCTTTCTGCCAGTTTTTGGAAGAGATCTGAAATATCCCTCTATATTCTCCAGTCTCCTCTCCTCAGCATTTTGGTTTCTGTAGCTATAGGTTGTGCAAATTAAAATGTATACATAATAGTGAGGTGCATTAAATTTTAGCAGGTTCTATTAGCAAGTGACTAATCCATAAATTTGGCTCATATATGAACCACTCTTCTCAAAAAATTTGAAAATATGTTAAACAGAAAACTTAAGGTATTATTGTTCTACAAGATTTTTTTGAAGCTTGCCTTATCTTTGTTATTTGACTTTTATTTTTCTATTTTTAATGTTTTATAGATTGGTAGCCTTGTAGAAGGGCAGATATTAGATGGAAGTTTAGGAAAGGCATTACTCTTATTTCACTTGAAAGACACTGAATAATTCCTTTGGTCTTTAAGAGTTAAAATCCTCTAAACTGAACATGGAGGGAATGAGGCTACAGGTTGTGCCAAAAAACCAGCTTATAGACTGATTTAGAGACTGTGTTTAGTAGGTCCTATCACTCGCTTTCCCTGAGGACACATTTGCTCTAAACATACTCACCCCCACTCCAAAGCCCTGGTACATGCCATATAGTGACCATAAGGAGAAATTAATTGAACCAAAAGAGAAAATACATCACTTGCATGCCATCACTTCCATCATAGATTGTTAGTTCCTGTCTGAAAATATTAATAGCATTTCTCCCCCTTTTTATAAATTATAATTGGCAGATGATGTCAGACAAGAGAAATGTTGTATTATTTTCTGTGTTTGACGAGAATCAAAGCTGGTACTTCACAGAGAACATGCAGCACTTCCTCCCCAGTGCAGCTGGAGTGCAGCCCGAGGATCCAGAGTTCCAAGCTTCCAACATTATGCACAGTGAGTAAAGCAGCACTTGAGTTCACTGGGTATCAGATTAAGAGAAACTAATGCCACCAAACTGAGTCCAGATAATGAATAAATGTATGTGCCATGCAGGAGTCATGTTTCTTTAACAATAACATTATCTAAAATATATAAATAAATGCATAAATGTGACCATATAGTGTACATTTAAAAATTCATTCACTTTTTTTCCTTTCAATATTTACCTGGTAGCTCTTTCCTTTTTATTACACCTTTTTACCAATCATCCCATACCTGCCCAGGAAGCCCATTTTAAAACATATTTTCATGATAATTATATAGTCATATATAAATACATACATACATTATATTAGTTTGATAGGGCTGCCATTATGAAATACCACAGATTGAGCGACATAAACAACAGATATTTCATTTAAGAGTCTTAAATCAAGATATTGGCAGGGTTGGTCTCTTCTGAGGCCTCTCTGCCTGGCTTGTAGATGCTATCTTCTCCCTGTGTCCTCACAAGACATTCCTATGTGCTGTGTTAAGTCCTCATCTGCTCTTCAAATAAGGATACCAGTCTGATTGGATTAGTGCACACTCTAATGACCTTGTCTTACTTTAATAACTTTTTAAAAAAAGAATTATTTATTTTATTTATTATTAATATTTTAAAATTTTATCACCAAAGAGAGAGAGAGAGAAAGAAAACACGAGCAGCTTCAGAAAGGAGTCACCACCTCTCCTACACTGCTGTGTGCTCCAACCCCCAAGCCAAAGCCAACTTACACTTCACACCTAGGTTCTGCAGCTACATTGATTTGTCCATGTCTCGGACTCTGGACCCATTGCCATAGCAAGTTCACCTACACTACAAGCTCCCCAAACAAGTTGTCACTGTGTTCCCATTCTCTGCTCCCTTGGCTGCTTCACAACTATGTATGCCTCCTATTCTATTACCAACGCAGCAGCAGGGTGCATATGCCCCAGAGAACCACCCATGCCAGTTCTATTACCATTCACAACAGCCAAAGAAAGAATAAAATATCCAGGAATAGGGGCCAGCAGGTGACATAGTGGTTAAGGCGCTGGACTCCCATGTGGTTGACCATGGTTTGAGTCCCAGACCCAGCAGCTTGAAACTCATGCCAAGCGTGTGTGCATGCATGTCCAAAATCCTGATAGGAGAACAGAGGAGAAAGGATCATGGCATAGCCTTCCTCCCCAGGGAGCAATTTCTTGCTTTCTCTCTCTGTCTCTCTCTGTCTCTGTCTCTCTATCTCTCTAGTGAGCATACACACCCTAATAGCAAAAATTTCTCTAAACTAAACAAAACTAAACAAAAACCAGGAATAAACTTAACAACAGAGGTTAAAGACCTCTACAAGGAAAACTATGAAAAACTGAAAGAAGAAATTGAGTGTGATACAGAAAAAAAGGGAAAGATATCCTATGTTCTTGGATTGGACAAGTCAATATAATCAAAATGTCAATTCTACCCAAATTAATTTACAAGTTCAGTGTGATTCTGATCAAATTGCCTGTGACATTTTCCACAGAATTAGGGAAAAAATTATCATAAAATTTATCTGGAATCATAAGAGGCCCTGTTTCACCAAAGTGCAAAATGAATAAAGTAGGAGACATTTCACTGCCTGACCTTAAAATAGATTATAAAGCTGTGATAATCAAAACAGCATGGGGAACCAGCAGTTAGCGTAATGACTATGTCGCTGGACTCCCACATAGTCGACCGCGGTTTGCGTCCCGGACCCGGTGGCTTAAAACTCACACCGGGCGCGTGTGAGTGTATGCCCAAGATTCCAAGAGGAGAATGGAGGAGAAGGGATTGTGGTGTGACCATCCCCCCTGGGGGGTGATTTCTCGCTTTCTGTCTCTATGTCTCTCTCTGTCTGGTGAGCGCACGCACCCTATAGCGAAAACCTCTAAAAAAAAAAAACAAAACAGCATGGTATTGGCACAAATATAGCCACATAGACTAATGGAACCAAATAAAGAATCAAGAAATAAACTCTAAATCATACAGTCAACTGACCTTTGACAAAGGGTACAAGACAATGCAGTGCAGGAAAAAAAGTCTTTTCAGCAAATGGTGTTGTAAGAATTGATATCCACCTGCAGAAAATGAAACCGAACTCTTATCACTCACCATTAACAAGAATCAACTCAAAATATATCAAAAATCTAGATGTAAAACCTCAAACTATAAAACTACTGGTGGAAAACTCAGGGGAAACACTTGCATACATTGACATAGGAAAGATTTCTTACATAAGATACCTAAAAGACAAGCAAAATAGACAAGCAGGACTGCCTCAAGCTAAAAAGTTTCTGCACAGCAAAGAAAATAACTAGAGTGCACAATAGGAGAAAAAATTGCAAACTATGCTTCAGGTAAGGGATTAATAACCAAAATATATGGGGAACTCAAGCAACTCACCCACCAAAAAAGAATAATCAAATTAAAAATGGGCAAATGAGGACCAGCAAGTGGCATGGTGGTTACGGCACTGGTCCCACATTGGCAACTGCACAGTTCAAGTCCCAGACCTGACTGCTTGAAAAACATGCTAGGAGCATGTGTGTGTATGCCCAAAATCCTGAAAGGAGAATAGAGGAGAAAGAATAACAGCATGGCCATCCCCCATGGAGAGTGATTTCTCCCTTTCCCTCTCTCTCTCTCTGTCTTTATCTGTCTCTCTCCAATGAGTGCACACTCCTTATGGCAAAAATCTTAAAAAAAAAAAAAAGAAAAGAAAAGAAAGGCAAAAGAACTAAACAGACAACTGTCTAAGGAAGACATATGACCAAAAAAAATATGAATAATGTTCAACATTTTTATTATAAGGGAAATGAAATCAAAATCACAATGAGATACCACTTAACCCAATCAGTATGGCTATGATAAAAAAATAGGGACCAGCAGATGTAATGGTTATGTCACTGGACTCCCACATGACTGACCACAGTTCAAGTCCTGGACCTGGGACTTGAAACTCATGCTGGATGCATGTGTGTGCATAACCTAAATACTGAGAAGAGAATGGAAGAGAAGGAATTGTGATGTGGCCATCACCCCTGGGGAGTGATTTCTTTCTTTCTATCTCTCTGTCTCTCTCTTTCTATCTCTTCAGTGAGCACATGCATCCTATAGCAGAACTTTCGCTAAAAAAAAAAAAATAGATGATGACAAATGTTGGTGAGTCTGTGATGAAAAGAGAACCCTCCTACACTGTTGCTGGGAATGTAAATTAATACAGCCATTGTGGAAAATAATATGGAGGTTCCTCAAAAATCTACAAATACAGCTACCATAAGATTCAGTAATCCCGCTCCTTAGTATTTACTCAAGCTAAGAGAAAACAGTCAGAAAGACACTTGCACATCCATGTTTATAGCAGCATTATTTATAGTTGCTAAGACATAGAATCAACCTAAGTGCCCAAGAACTGATGACTGCATTGAAAAACTGTGGCTCATGTATGCTATGGAATACCACTCAACCAAGAAAAAAAAAGAAGGGAGAAAAATGAGATCCTGACATTTGACACAAAATGGATAAACATGGAAGATTTCATACTAAATGACGTAAGCTAGACTATGAAAAACACACCCTAAAGATCCTGTTCATATATACTGAATGCATTTTATAGCAGAAATTGAAAGATCTGAAGCTATAAAAGTAGGGAGGACAAGTGTAGATACCAGAAACAATATGGGAGAGAAGTAGATGGCAGAGGGTGTGTGGGAAAAAACTTACCAGATACAAGATTGCAAAGTTCTCTGTTGAAAATTATGTACATGATAGTAGCCTTGATTTGATTGTCACATACTGTGTGCACACTTTGAAAAACCATATTATGCAATATAGAGTTGTGCAATTATTGAAAGTAAATATCAAATCATAAAATATTTTATTTTTTATTTTTTATTTTTTGGAGAGGTTTTGCTATAGGGCGCATGTGCTTGCCAGACAGACAGAGAGAGACAGAAAGTGAGAAATCACCCCCCAGGGGGGAAGGCCATACCGCAATCCCTTCTCCTCCATTCTCCTCTCAGGATCTTGGGCACGCATGCACGCACACGCGCCTAGTGTGAGTTTAAGCCACCGGGTCCGGGACTCAAACCGTGATCAACTACATAGCAGTCCAGCAACAGCCATTATGCCAACCGCTGGTCCCAGGAAATCATAAAAAATTTTAAAATATTAAAAAAAACTTCTATGTACATCAAAAAGTCCAAAATTAAAATGACTGACCATACCAAGTGGTAAAGATGTGAAGGAACCAGAACTCTCATACGTTGCTGGTCAGTATGGGTTGAATCATGTCCATCTCTCTCCTCAGTTCATTTGTTGAAGTCTTAACCTTAATACTTCAGAATATGATTGCATTTGGAGATAGGGTCTTTAAAGAGGTTATCAAGTTAAAATGAGGTCATCAGGATTGGGCCCTAATCTAATATGACTAATGTCCTCATAAGAAGAGGAAATTTGAACACGCAGAGATACCATGGATATGTGTGCCCAGAGAAAAGAAAATGTGAAAACACAGAGAAAAGGTGGCCATTTACAAGACAGGGTCCTCAGAATAAACCTTATCTCCCAACATCTTGATCTTAGACCTCCAGCCTCCAGAACTGTGAGAAAATATGTCTTTCTCATTTAAGCTAGTGCTCCCCAACCTTCCCAGCATCAGAAACTGGCCTTGTGGAAGACACATGGATGAAGAGGAGAAAGGGATGACTCAAACACATTGCATCCACCATGTACCCCAGTCTCACCACTACCACATTGCAATATGCAATGAAGCGATCACACAATAGAGTTTGTGGTCCCATGAGAATTCAGTGCCGCCACTGATCCAATTGGAGATGGAGCCCAGGCAACAATGCTAGTGATGGGGAGCAGCTACAAACATAGACAAAACCTTGCTCACTAGCCTGCTGCCCACCCCCAAGTAGTAAGCCAGATGTGGTCAACAAGCCACAGATCAGCCTGTGGCCTGGGGATTGGGGATCCCTGATTTAAGCCACTCCATCTGTGGTAGTTAGTTATGGCTGCCCTAGCAGAGTAATACAGTACCCAAAAGAAATGTGTACATATTTTCCCAAAAGACATATAATTATTTTTTCTTTGTGGAGTTCCCTTTTGTTAGTGATGTGAAGTGGTGTGGAATCTAATTTTCAAATGTATAGTCATATTTTCCAGTATTATTTACCAAATAGCTCAGTCCTTTTCTTGTTTTGAGATACTGTTTTTTAAAAAGAATTATTTATTTAATTTTATTTATTATTGCTATTATTATTTTAATTCACCAGAGACAGAGAAAAGTGAGAAAGCAAGCCGCCAGGTCTGGAATTTGAACCACAGTTGGCCATGTGGGAGTCCAGCAGCCTAACCACCATGCCACCTGAGATACTGATTTTATTATATGAGTTGGTTTCTGGACTTCATATTTTGTTTGATATATTCATCTATTCCTGTAATAAGACTACAGTGTTGACTACAATAGCTTTAAAGTATCTTTTAATACTATGTAG